ATCATCTGTACATAAAGGTAAAGCTGACATGCTAACTTGGATGCTGGTTATGAAAGCAGTGTGTTCATACAACAATATCTGCTTCGAGGATTCGAGTGAGTGCCCGTACAAATTTGATATGTGCAGATAAAATCCAATTTTGGAATGATTTCTGCCGCAGCTTTCAGAATTTGTTGCTCGGAAAGGGAAAGGGGAATCAAATGACAAATCTTACAAAAAGAGCGAGACCCATATATAGATATAGCGGGAACTAATGTAAAGAAAACAAAAAAAAAAAAAAAAGCAAAAAGAAAGAAAAGAAATTGGCAAATGTTGAAGTTAAGCAGGTTTAGGCAATATTTCATTCTTTATACACTCTCTCTCTCTCTCTCTCTCTCTCTCTCTCTCTCTCTCTCGTTTATTTGTGCTGGCTGATGAGTCCCAAGTCTCACTGGCTCAGAGGTGTTGTTTTGCTCTGTTTTCACCTATAATTTAGTAGTTAGGATGTCGTTTTCATTTTTTTAGGGGCTATGCTATGCCATTGCCGGCTGAGGAAATTTTCTATTCAAGTAGTCTTGGGACAGCCTTCCCTTTTGTAGCCAAGTAACAGGTATTAGTAGTAGATAGATGCATTACAAGTCAATTATCATGATTAGCTCAATAGCAATGATTGTGGGGGTTTGCTTTAGTTTGTCTTCGTGGGAAGAATTATATTAAAACTTGGGAGTTTGTCAGCTTTTGCCTCACCCCTACGTTAGATTAGCTTATTTATTGCCAAGCCAATGGTTGCCTTGAGCGGGTGTCTGTTAGGACCTAGAAAGCTTAGTAGGGTTTGCAATCAATCTTTACATTTACCCTTGTTATCTGCACTTGACTTTGAGGCAAATTCGTGAATAGGGTAAAATACATTTCTACCCTACTACATTTTATGCCCTCAAATTCTCAATCGCCCCAAAATTTAGATGATCTTGCAAGTTTTTTTTTTTTTGGGGTCAGAAACAGTGCTTTCATTCCATGGGGGAGCAGCCAAAAAGCCAAACCCAGGAAAAAACAAAGCAGCCAACAAGGAAGTCCAAACCACGAAGGGGACAACAAAACCAAAGTGCAATACAATGGATAGGCTAGGAGGGGAAGAAGAAAGACACAGCAGCGCTAGTATCACCGCGTCCATAGGCCTCCTAGACAGAATCAGACTAAACATTTGTTGGAGGACATGGAAGGCCATCCTTATTCAAGATGAACGTGAGAGAGGATGGAGGCCTATCAGCCCAAACTTCATTGCACATCCTCAACTTAGCAAGCTCTGCCAAGTGATCTGCAGCCTCATTTGCGGTTCTACGAATCCAAGTCCAGCTACAAGACCTGAATGCCACGAGAAAATATCTTATGTTACTAAGGATTGGGTAAATCTCCCACTTCCCCCTAGAGGTGTCACCATTGATACTTTTAACGGCTTCAAGGCAATCCGACTCGAAAGACACCCGTTGATCGCCCCGATCCGAAGCAAATCTGCACCCTTCTAGACACGCTAAGCATTCAGCCATTAGAGCCGAGTCCGCCTGAGCCAGCAGAGATTTTCTCGTGCCAGCAGATGATCTTGCAAGTTATTACGAGTCTCTGGGTGTCTCTGAGCTGACGCGACCCCAGTAGAGCAAAGCATGACGTTCCTTCTCTTTCAGCCTCCAGCACGCCGTTCTCAGCATCTCTCTGAGTGCATGAGAAGCTATTCGATGTGTTTGTTCTTTTTCAACGTATTCAAAAATGTTGTTGGAAATTCCGCATTGAATATAGGACAGGCAACGGTTAGAATATAGGACAAGTGGGAAGCCAATACGCCATTGACGAAAACACTAGCATTTATTTTTGGCGCACAGATTAATATCGAGTATCTGAGGCACAAGTAAGCTGCCTGCCTCGTACGCTAATATTACACATTTGTATTCGTAAACTGTGAAGAACAATGAGCTCAACATATAGAAACACCCCATACATACATAGGACACTTTTAATTTTAAGGAAATTATTAGGACCACACCCACCAGCCCATAGACACACCCTCCGCCTGCTGTACCTGCTCCTCCACGGCAGCCGCAAACACATCGGAGAAGTAACCCCGCCCGTCGTCACTGCCGTCATCTTCTTCTGAGTTGATCCCACTATGATGGTGATGATGATGATGAGGGTAATTATTGTGGACGTTGTCCTCGTTGAGAAAATTGTAGGAGTCGCCGCTGTCCACAAGCTGAGGACCTTCGACCTCGTCCACCACGGCGCTTCCTCCGCTCCCGGAACTCAGACGGTCCTCAACTTTGACGCTGCAGCTATATTGCAGACCAGCGGCATAGCTTATTGGAACAGCATCCCTCATCTCATCACCAGCAGGAACAAGAGGGTCGCACTTGTCGTCGTCAGCATGATCAGGTGCAAATGCTGCTGCTTTGATATTGCTGGTCTCCTCTTTAGCTTCAAGTTTCTGGTTTATGGAAACCACCTGCGCATTAATTGATTTCATTTAATTAATTAATTAAGAACAGAAGTTACAGATGATGATGAAATAACCACTAATTACCATCCTGCATCTTATTTTAATCGGAAAGAAATAGTCAAGGACTAATATGCATCTTTTTTATACCCTATAGTATATTCGTCCTGTGACTCTGAAAGTGGCTTTTTTTAATGTTCAAGTTCAAGGTGGGGTTTACAACAGATGCTATGTTGGATGGAGACAAATGTATATTTGCCAGCTATATATATATAATAAATTATCATATACAGACATTTAGACGTTATTATCGTACATACGTTATATATTTTATACCACCCCTCCCTAAACCCTAATAACGTACGGTCATCCAGACAAAAATGATTTTGAATTGTGTTTCTACACCAGCTGCTTAGCTAGGTTTTCACTAGAGTAATAATAATCTATTCACTAATGAGGAAGCAAGCAGTAGTCGTACCTCGGATTTGAGCTTGTGATTCTCCTTAAGGATAGAATCATAATTAGACAAAAGGGAGTCGTAAGAAGATTTGAGAAGATCATAATCGCGCTCGAGCTGCTTTGTCTTCCAGCGAGCCCTGCGGTTCTGGAACCACACAGCCACCTGCCTTGGCTGCAGCCCCAGCTTCTTGGCCAGCTGCGTCTTCCGCTCTGGCTCCAGCTTGTTCTCTGTCTCAAAGCTCTTCTCCAGCATATGCACCTATTCATCAAAATTAATTTAACACTAATTATTAATTAAATTAGAAAATAATCAATACTTTCTAATTAGTCACTCAACCCACCACATCCATCACTTCATTAATTATAAGTCAAAGCAGAAGCCAACAAAATTTAGATAGATCAGATCAGATTCCCACTAGCAAAGGAGAGACCTTGATTTTCATGAATTTGATGCTGATAAGGTGAATATGCCATCATCAACATATATTTCATTTTTTGAACCACAATTCATATATTCCTTCCTTATTTTATTTATCCACGATAGTCTAAATAAATCTAATCTATGGGAACTTACGAGCCAACTGGTTTAATCCACGTCTACTTATATATTATTTTAGACAAATAAATTAACGTATAAGATAGTAGAATAACCTGGTCAGGAGTGAGGCGGCGCTTCTTTTCCGGCAACTGCTCGTCGTAATATTCTTCGTCGAATAGTTCGTCTTGCGATGACGATGAGCTGAAAAAACTTCGCCTCCTCGAGCTTTCTTGATCCATCAATCCCATAACCGATCTCGGCCCTTCATCATCATCATCAACATCCCAAACAACAATATCAGCTAACTAATACTCTCAAAAAATAAAAATTCAAAAATTCACGCAGAAATGATTTCACATAATCACCTCGAAAAACGTGATCAGCATTCCCGAGGAACAGCATGTTGCCACCACCTTGCTGGCAAGCGGACGATGTCGTCGAAGGGTCAAAGAAAAAACGGCACGGCTCCATCGTCGGCCACTGATGATGCTCTGTTCTGGTGAGTTCTGAGCGCGGGTAGGCTAAGGGGGTCGCGCTAGATCTCCGCCGTCGATTCTTGCTTAAATAGTGATGATCAGTACTAATTATCAGGTGGGTGGCCTGAGAATATTATTAGTATGGGCTCTGCTTGTAATTGAGGGGGTGTGTGGGTGTGGAATTAATTAGAAGATCATAATCTTGTGACGGAAGAAACTGGTGCTCCACAGCAACCTCGCCGGAGTCTCCAAGGGGCATATACAAAATCCCATCACACCACCACCGATGTTTTCCAGCTCTCCGCTTCCCAAATTCCTCCGCGCCGGAGTTGGATATTATGTGGAGGGAGATTAATAATAATTTAGACGGGTTTAGGTCCTAATAATACACACGAGTTATTTTACGCACCAAACCTCCATGAAAGAAAGGTAGGCGGTGCTAATATGAGATTTAGAAAGAAATAAGGACGGGATTTGGAGATCACCGGAGCTTAATTAAACGTCCGGCGAGGAAGGTGATCAGTGTGTGGCGCTTCTAGGTGTTTTTTGCAGCTAAACTTGCAAGAGGCGACTCCATCGCCTTATATATTACTCCACCCTGTATTTCAAATGACGAAACTGCCCTTTGAAATTGTATTTCACGACACTTTCTTCTTGGAGAGTTGCGTAATTTCACACTGCTTTTGGACTGGAGCTTAATCTGAATGATGGCACAATTTTATTTATTTTAAATTTTTGCCATGACAAAAATGTCTATTTCAGCTTATTATATATAAGTATAAGTTTAGCAGTAGATTGACTACTCTCGTTCTGTCTATTTCAGCTTTTGTCATTTACAACAAATTACAAAGGCTTTTTTTTTTCTTTCTAATTTCAATCGGGAGAATATGTACACATCTTCTCAATGCATTTTTTCACTCGACTAGATTTTTTTAGCGAAAGAAGATGTACACATTGAATATTGTTAATCTATTAAACATAATAAAGTTGTGAAATTGCAAATGGGACCACTGCGCATCTGTTCATATGGGGGTGAGTAGGGAATGGGATTGAAGGCTTATGGTGGTGTGGGTGCCAGCCAATCTGGAACGTTAAATAGGGCCCCATGCTTGGAGGTCGGGGGATTGTCGGATCCACATCTCCCAATTGTTGCGTTTGCGATAAACGGTTCTGATTCTCTTCTTTTTAAAATCGTTCTTGACCTGGCCAGCCAAGTATACGTCTGTCTCTCTCTCTCTATATCTTGTCATTTTTTTTAGCCAAACCCTAACTCCAACTCCCTAATTGCTAAATGCATGCTAATGGAGAATCTCAACATTTCATTTTCATTTGTTACTTGTTAGACTAGTTTTATTTCTTTATTTCTTTTTTGAAAGAGAAAGATAGAGAAATTAGATATTCGTTTATGAGAAGGAGAAAGTGAAAATCGAACTTCCGTCGATCTGCGAAGTTATCAAAAGAGAGAGAGAGAGAGTTGGAGAAACATCACACAAGAAAAGCCTTTAATAACTGCAAAACCTAGCTGTAAACCCATATCCTTCCCCTATATACAACGTCCAAAACAGAAGAAACAAAAGGAGGGGTGGCGAGGAATATATTGGTGATGTCATGAGTGGCAAGGATTAAATTAAGTTGATATGCAACTTTTACTTTTCTCATGTAAGTTAATGCACGCAGAATATTTCATTTCATATTGCCAATATTTGACGCGACTTGTGATCTCAATCTCAAAAACCATAGACTACATGCTTGTTTCGTGGCTACTATTCTCTTCTTTAAGTGACGCTGTCACACTCATGTAAACATATTTATAAGGTAAGGTAGTGGCCAGTCCATATTTTAGTGCTTGTGGTGACATTGTACCACGCACTTATGAAGCAGTTGATTATAATGTTTTCAATACTTCAATTATAGTAGTGCCACAGTTCTCTCTCTCTCTCTCTCTCTCTCTCTCTCTCAAATTTACTATAGAATTCGCGACCTCAAAAAAATATCGACTCTAATAAAATTTTAAAGTCAAGTTATTTAAATGCGAGGAAGGAAAATAAGAGTATCAACAAATCGATAAAGAGTATCAAGATAAGCGATGCACGTTTGTTGTCGTGTTGTATGTAGACTGAACGGATTAGCAAGCTTCATAATATAATATTATTTAGTTATTTATGTATTTGTGTGTAAACAAAGTAAACCCAGCGAATAAGATGATTGGAGATTGGAGCTAGCAACAAAGGAAAATAAGAGTTGCGTTGCAGGTAATAGTTTTGATGTTTGTGCATGTATTGCATATCGTTGTCATGGGCTTTAGCAACTGCACTTGGAGGAGAACCACGTCGTTATGGGACCCGGAGAATCGAAGCTTTTCTTTTTGTAGTGGGAAATAAAGGAAATAGTCTAAGCTTGGTAGCTATAGGAAAAGAACCAAACATAAACACTTTTAAGGAAAAATTATACTTTGTTTTCTTCTTTTTAATTAAATAATTCCAGTCGACTTACATCAAAGGTGGAAGGACACATTTTCAAAAGGATGGTATACTTTTGCTAGTTTTGTTGTTTGTGTTTTTTTGCCAGATTAGATGTATGTAACAACCTTGCATGTGAATACATTGTATACTATTACAAATGTTTAATGCTTCACTAACTTATTTTTAAAGGAATATATATTAGGGGGAAAGGTTTGACCACATGACCTCAGGTGCAAAAGTAACTGCTCTTAACTACTTAAAACTACAACTCCTTGTATACTTCATTAACTTTGATTCTACGTACCTACGTGAATTATCGTATATTGATTACAAGCAAAAAGCAATAAAAAGATAGATAAAGATGCACATTTGGTGTTTACCAAGGTGATCCATTTGATCAAAATTGGGAGGAAATTTCCTTAATGTCAACCCCTCATTGGTGGCCTACACACTTATAAATAATTAATTGGCAATTTTAAACAACATTGACTTGAGGTATCTAGATGAAGACATGTGGTGTATAATGAGAAAATGATGGAGGTGCACATGTGTGTGGGCATCTTGAATTGAACAAGCGCTGGTGATTGAATCCTATATATATATATATAATATTGCAAAGTAGCTAGCTTATAATTAACATGGAATGATTTAAAAATATGGTTTGAAAAAGAAAACAAAATAGATTATCATTTCCATGTGTTGGCCACCAGTTGTCTGGCAATGGCTTGCAATGTGGGAATATCTCTAGTCTCCTCTCCCACTTAAGAAATAAGATTGATTGATTGATAAATGAACACTTACCATCCTAAGAAGGAATGAGATTCACTTCTCCCCAGAAGATAACACGTTCTGAGAATCTGTTTCTTTAGGCAAGCAAGAAAGATGTAAACATTTTAACATCAGCAATATATATATATATATATATATATATGTACAATCTTGTCAGCCTTTTATTCTCTTCAAGCTAACATCAATGTCGTTTCACAGTCAGTAATGGAATCAAGGAAACAGGCTTTTATCCTTTTTAATGGACTAATTGTATACAGGGCACATTCCGGTTATGTGGAGGACGGACGAGTTGTTGAGAAAGTATTACTTATACTGTATACGCGATTTAAGTCTTTCAAGGTGTTGAATCGTAAACGAGGCGAGCAAGAAGAAGGAAGAAGACCCTTGAAGCATCGCAATCTCTCTCTTGAACTTAGTTAAGTCATCGTCGTGATCACGTTGGATAAGATTAGTATCGAATTTAGGGACAAATCTTATAAAAGTAAATGTTAAAACAAAATTCTTAAAAAAGAAAAGAGCGCACAGAATAAACAAAACAAAACAAACCCTAACAACCATTACTTAATCATTTGTTAAACAGTTAAAGGGATCATGTTTCGTGAAGATGGTAGTGGGGTATAACTGGGTTCATGTTTTCAGAATTAACGTGGAGTATATTCCAACTAGTACTAGCACCATTAACATTAATAATACAGTTTCACACGTTAAAAAAGGTATCAATTCTCTATTTGTTTCTCTCTCTCGCTCTCTCTCTCTTCTCTTTGATGCAATGCAAGGAAGAGAGTGTTGGGTGGCTTTGCTTTGTTGTCCAATTACTTCATTGGTAAGGTAAAGAGACTAAATGGAAGGAAGGAAGGAGGGTATCTTTTGACTAGAATTGGATTGGAGATTTCAACTTTAGATAGGTCCAATTGTGCTGCTGCTACTTACCTTTTGAAGTCCCTTTAACAAAAAGTAGGGGATCGATGAGAATGAATTGGTGACTTGGAGGAAACTATGCAAAATGAAGAGAGAGAGAGAGAGAGACGGAAAGCTACAAATAAAAAGGAGGACGGCACCAGGCACCTGAGAAGGATCAATGCTTCTGATTTTGAAGATATCAGATATGTTTTGTGTTATAGTGAATCTGTGTGTGTATGGTCCATAATGGCCATTAATATTACCCATCATCATCATAAAGTAGAATAAGTATAATACTGCTCTCTTTCTCTTTCTCTTTTTTAAAATAAAAAAAATACAAACGATAGTCTAAACTACAAGAGAAAGAGGTTTCTCACACACATACTATCAAATGTCATAGGGATTCGAACATGATACCACTGGTTTGTAAGTCAATGCCTTTTTCCACTGACTCCGTTGGCAAACTCTCTCTCTCTCTTTAATTAATTACTTTCCAAATTTTTTATAATTAATTTAACAAATGAGATTAATACCATGAGTACATGTCACATCCATTTTAATTTCAATGCCTTTGGCTGGACTCTAGGGGACCATTCCATTGATCTCTATATTATGTATATTAGCTAGCTCTGTTTCAGGTTGATTTCAAATTTGCACTCACCATCTCACATCTTCATGTGGTAATTAAATTAACTATTAGCAATACTGGTGGAACTTGGCTCATCTAGCACTAATTAGGCAAGTAAACACTTACTATGCACGTGATTTATTATAGGGATTATATAATATCCATGATAATGGTTTCTTACCCACCATTACTATTTCTTTAATAAATCAATTTGTTTGTCAATGAGGTCTAACTTAGTAGAAAAGATCATTGACTTGCAGACTAATGATTCGGTAGTGTGTGTGCAACTTCCCTTCCCCTAATAATTTAGACTACCACTAAAAATATAGCCCATAAGTGAGGAGGTGTTTCAGAGGCCCCCAAAGCCCAACAAGTAGTCTTACCATACTAAATGGGCTGAGGGTGCATTGGATCAGAAGACAAATTAACATGTATTGAAATAGGGCCCGTCCATGATGCTACAAAACTCCATGTTCAACTTGAACTTGAACAAGCCTCGGATCATTCAAACCAATCACCCAAGGCAGTCAACTTTCCTAGGCAAGCATGTAGTCATAACCACCTTAGCCTCTTAGCTATATGGTCATGGAACCCCATCTATGGCCATGGCTGCCACCTACAAAAAATTGATCAAGAACGAAGCATTCTATATTTTGCATAGCAACACAGATATTTAATACTTTCTTACCAAATTAAATATATATAACCTTTGGCAGCTTTCAAATTACTCAAAGATGAAGAATTCACATAAAATGTCTAATGCATAATCGTCGTTCAACTCTATTTCGAATCCATACGTTTGTTTTTTTGTCCTTTCTTGCGTTTAAAATTTACCAGTTATATTCCATACATACTGGTATTGTAATCAACCAAGAATTTATACCAATGGGATTTAGCCGAGTAGATAAGGGTATTGACTTGAAGACCAATATTATTCAAAAATCAATTTCTAATTAGATCCAATCACGTGTGTATATATATATATATATATATATATTCTTAATAAAGATAATTTGATTGAAATAATACTTAATGGGTATTTTAGGAATAATGGTGGATGGAAAGATATGATTGTGTTTTTTCAATTTTACATGGTGGGTGGGAAAATAAAACAAGGGTAGAAATAATAGCACTCATAATTAATTGGGTCTTAATTTACCAATTTAGATTCAACGACGTATTATTAATTGGCATTGATCCTATTCCATATCATTATTTTCATTATCATAAGTTTTATTAGGAAATATGAGCATAAAACTTAGAAATCAGTTGAAATTGAAATTGAGCTTACACAATTTATGTACGTGATCAATTAGCTGACCAATAAAATGAGACCGGACGCTTATGGTGCCCTCAATCCAAATTGATGGCAGAGTAAGTAATTAACTAGGAAACTGAGACCCATTCCGTATCTGTCGTAACCACCTCAGAAGGGTCGGGATTCCATGAAACTCATGCACGCCCCGCGCTTTGCTTGTACCCCAAACAATCTAATAGAAGGCTGTGATCTAATCCGAAACAAGAAATGAGAGTCCACGTAACGCATCAGATCATCATGATCATGATCATCAGTCAGGAGATATACAGGAATGGATAGAGTCCAATTCATCAACAACTAATTAATTTGTGAAACGAAAATCCAGGATAATGTCAGATACGTGAAATAAATCCAAAAAAAGATAAATATTTAATTTCGGACATTAATCCAAGTTATAAAAGTTTTTGAATTCCTAACAGCCTACGCCAGAGCTGCTACATAAATATCAGCTGTCAGATTCACGAAATCTCATACTCTCTCACTCTCGTTCTGGTTCTGGTTCTGGTTCTAAATTCTCTCTGCAAATTCGAAGAAGCAAGCAAGTCGACGCAAAGATGGTGACCGCTGATGCAGCTCGAAACGTCGTCGGTATCATTGGTACGCGGTGCCTTCCCCTTGCTCTCTCTGTAGCTATATATATACGCGGAAGAGTTCTCTTTCTTTCTGCAACAAATTCAAATGCTACTGATTTATGCTTTTTGTTCTTTGTGAATTTTTCTGTTCGTACTGGAATTTCGTTTGTATAGGAAACAGATGATGATTTGAGTGTTCTGATTTTGTGTTTGTTTGGCTAATTTGATTTTCTGCAGGCAATGTCATCTCCTTTGGCCTTTTCCTCTCCCCAGTGTAACCTCTCTCTCTCTCTCTGTGGATCTGATGGTTTTCTTGTTCAAGTTTTTGATTGTAGAGAAGATTATAGCATATGTGATGTTCTTCATACGTACATTGCACCGCTTAGCTTAGCTCCTTCTACTGTGATTCAGTATTGTTACATAGATTAATTGTGAATCTACAAGATATTTGACGTGTTCTGTTTTCCAAAACTTGAAAGAAAAAAAAGGAGGAGATCGAAACATGAGATTTTTCTTATGTGTGGAAAGGAACAATTCATTAATTACCTTATAATGCAAAACATACATTGAACTAATTAAGAGCAAAATAGGGAATATACATGATTTGGCATGGGAAAAAAAAAGAATGAAATCATGGTTTTGGACTGTGTGCATTTTTGTTTGCAAGTAATCTGTAATTGTGTGCATCAATTATTCAATTATAGAATTTAGAGTTGTATAAGATTCTTCATGGTTCCAATTAACTAAAGGGGGTTGATTTTTTCTTTTTTGCCTTTTCATTTATGTCCTGTGGTACAGTACATTCGTTTTTTTTTTTCTTTCTAATTTCTAAATTAAAGACTTGTTTCATGGATTGTTCTTTTTCTCACTGACTCTATCAATGATAAATTGAGATGTTGAAATTTTTTGGAATGCAGTCCAACATTTTACAGAATCATTAAGAAAAAGACGGTGGAAGAATTCAGGCCGGACCCTTACATTGCAACAGTGTTGAACTGCTTGTTCTGGTGTTTGTATGGCATGCCATTTGTTCACCCAGACAGCCTTCTTGTGGTCACCATTAATGGAGTTGGGCTTGTTCTGGAGCTCGCATATCTTGCTGTCTTCTTCATTTATGCTCAGAGTAAAGGCAGGGTAATTACATTACAAGGCTAGGAGCCAAAGGTGTTTGATAATTTATTCGGGAGGCAGAGTACATATAACTAATGTGCTTTTTGTTGTTGAATTTTGCAGAAAAAGGTAGCTTTTGGGCTTGGCTTTGATGTTGTTCTCTTTGTCGCCATTGCCGCAATATCGCTAACAGCATTGCACGGCACAAAGAAGAGGTCTCTGTTGGTCGGCATTGTCTGTGATATTTTCAATATCATAATGTACGGTTCTCCTCTTACAATCATGGTAAGCAACACCTTGTAATTCCAGTCCATAAAGTTTTAACTTTTCTCTCTAGCTAGTAATAATAAAAAGTTACGCAATATATTATTTTTTTTGGTTTGACAGGCAAAGGTTATCAAAACCAAGAGTGTGAAATACATGCCATTTTACCTCTCATTGACCAACTTCCTAAATGGTTGCTGCTGGACAGCTTATGCTCTCATCAAATTTGACATATACATGCTGGTAATTATAATTAACTTGAGTTCTCTGATTAATTCGTTTTTATTTGTTCTTGATTTAACTTTTGGTGCTTAATTACTTTGTGTCTTTATGTCATGCAGGTCAGCAATGGTCTTGGTGCAGTTTCTGGTGCTATTCAACTCATACTTTATGCAGCGTACTTCAAGTCAACTCCAAAAGACGACGATGACTTTGCTGGAAAGCCTAGTACTGAAGTGCAGCTCTCGAATACAAATGCGGCTGCTGCTGCTAGTGTCTGATAATTACTCTGCATCTGCGCATGAACTTCCTAGTTTTAACTTCTCATCTCCTTAGGTTAATTTTGATAGGGAAAAAGCAAATGCTTTTTTTTTTTTTTTTGGGGATTAATTTTCTGGTTTAGAATTGTAAATATACATTTTTGTTGAGCGGCTGCGCCAAGTAACTGAAGCACTGCATTGACAATTCTTTGTTTGTGGTTTAGTGACGATTTCATGGTGAATTCAGTGACTATTCATGCTTTTGCAAATGTCTCAATGTGCACCAACTTTTTCAGTCCCAATTGTTTTTATATTTTTTCAAGTAATTATGTTGGTTGACCAGAAAAAAGAGAATAATTTTGTTGAAAATAGATAGAGGGACGCTATTGCTACATTTGGGAATAAAAAAACAAAAAGCAGCCCGTGACCGAAAAAACAAAACCAATTCATTTTTGTCGAGGCCTCAAAGGTACAAGCCCTAAACTAGCCATAAAACTGTGGAAGTGGGCAACCTCAGCCTGACCCAAATCATAACAAACTTGGCACTGTTTTCATCTGGGTCCAGACCCAAGCGATTGGAAACAAAATGAAAAGGGGTCAAAGAAATCCATGTGTTTATGACAAATCGAAGAGTTCAGATTCCAATCCATGAATTGCAAATCTTATCCAGAACTTGAGGACTGAGGATAATGACGACCCAATGCCCATGTGCCAGGCTGCCACAAATCTCCCATTATGAGTGAAAATGAGCAACAAGTAGAGCAGTGTGCAAGACCAACCCCAACTTACCAATCACCTTATCTACTCCTCTCTCTCTCTCTCTCTCTCTCTCTCTCTCTCTCATTCTTCGGTCTTTTACACAAAAACAGGCTGATGTTACTTTGTAGTGTGGATACTAACTAGTACTGAAAAAAGTTTAAAGTCCAATGGCAGCCATTCTCTGCTGCCACCACTCTGCTTCTCCAGCTACCTCCTCCAAATTCATCAGTCCCAGCATACCTACAAACCGTACTCGCTTCTCAATTTCCCATAAACAATTTGGAACCCGCAGTTCTTCCCCACTTCCTATTAAATGCCAGATCCAGAACAGACAGGTGCCCTTTTCTTTTCTGGTTCTGTTTTTGTACAAATTTTGATTATTTTTATATTCTTTCTTTGTTTCATTGGCATTCTTATTCAGCATTTAGTAGAATTCTAGAATGTATAGACTGTTCAGAATATAGGGTACTTAAGTTCATGACATGTGTGTAGTTTGTAGTGGATGCTAAATAGGCCAAGTCAACTTGAAGTTCTTTCAGAAAGATATGATCTTTTGTTGCAAAAGTTGATTGTAGATAGGACCCACTGAGCGTTTTCACTTGTTTCAGCAGAAAGGGAAGTCATTTTCCATAAAGGAGTGTGCGATATCTATAGCTTTGGCCGTTGGATTAGTAACAGGAGTTCCTGCATTGGAATGGTCTAGCAATGCCTATGCGGCTAACCCAGTGTTGCCTGATCTTTCTGTACTGATCTCTGGACCCCCAATAAAGGACCCGGGGGCTTTGTTGAGATATGCTCTGCCTATCAATAATAAAGCTATCAGGGAAGTACAAAAACCACTTGAAGATATTACAGAGAGTCTGAAGGTAGCCGGAGTCAAAGCACTCGATTCTGTTGAGAGGGTAATTCATCAAACCATTTCTTTTCTTTGTGTTCATTCTGTTTATATCTAAGGAATTTCAATAGATGGTAACTGAGACTTGAGTTTGGATATAGAATTTGAGGCAGGCATCTCGAGCGCTGAAGCAGGGAAAGACTTTAATTGTATCTGGATTAGCTGAATCGAAGAAGGGCCATGGAGTTGAATTGCTCGGAAAGCTGGAAGCTGGAATGGATGAACTCCAACAGATTGTGGAGGATAGAAATAGAGACGGAGTAGCAGAAAAACAGAAGGAGCTACTTCAATATGTTGGGGGGTGAGTATGGCAGAAACATTACTTTGTGGCATAATGAAGAATGGCTTTTTAATTTTGTTGAGCAAAAAAAGAAAAAAAATACACCTCTCATGAAATACCTGAATGGCTGTAAGAAGCTCAGTGTGAAAATAAGATAGAAAATAGGAACTTGTGTATGTGTGTCTTTAACCATGCAATACTTGATTCTGTCTTGTTACCATATCTTACTTATTAAAAATATCATTGAGGATTTTGGAATTCGTGCATGTTCACTGTCTAATTATATTTATCTGCTGCCATTTTCTTGTATTCAGAGTTTCCTCATAGAGGTTTTGAATTACCAAATGTATGTTTTCTGTCTCAAATAAGCTGCAAAGAGGCTGTTGTAAGACTTTTGATGTTTATGAGAAGACATTACCACTGATGACTAAATGTTAATGAGACGAGTGATAGAAAGAACGTTAGTAAACTAAGAAAATGTCATAGAGGATTTTGGAATTCGTGCATGTTCACTGTCTAATTATTTTTATCTGCTGCCATTTTCTTGTATTCAGAGTTTCCTCATAGAGGTCTTGAATTACCAAATGTATGTTTTCTGTTTCAAATAAGCTGCAAAGAGGCTGTTGTAAGACTTTTGGTGTTTATGAGAAGACATTACCACTGATGACTAGATGTTAATGAGATGAGTGATAGAAAGAACATTAGTAAACTAAGACTTAAACATCTGGTATTGTTTGAGTGAACTATTAGAAAAAACACCACCTATGCTCTAATGTTGAGTAGAGCTAGAGCTCAAAAGGCATTGAAGTGTGTGAGGATTGTTAGTTATAACATGTGTATCCTCATATACGCCCTTGTCATTGACTGCAGCTGAGATCTTCCTGGGGCATTGGGTTTCTGCAGTGTTGAAGAGGATATGGTGGATGGATTCCCGTATGAAGTGCCTGAAGAATACCAAAGCATGCCTCTATTGAAGGGGAGAGCAACTGTGGATATGAAGGTCAAGGTTAAGGATAATCCTAGCCTTACTGATTGTGTCTTCCGTATTGTTCTTGATGGTTACAATGCTCCAGTAACTGCTGGGAACTTTGTAGACTTGGTGGAAAGACACTTTTATGATGGCATGGAAATCCAAAGAGGTAACACCTCATACTAAATATCCAGTCTTTTCTTTTATTAATATTTTTGGAAGTATTGCTAATCTAGAAAGGAATAAATTAAGTTCTTGATCTACCTTATTGAGAGATCTTGAGTTATTCATCCGACCTCTGAACTTTAAATTTTACTTCTCGACGATGTTTAAAGATCCCCTTGCTTTTTGCTTGCAGCGGATGGTTTTGTTGTACAAACTGGTGATCCTGAAGGACCAGCAGAGGGTTTCATAGATCCAAGTACAGAGAAAACCAGGACAATACCATTAGAAATCACGGTGGAGGGAGAGAAATTACCTTTTTATGGATCAACTTTGGAAGTAAGCTTCTCCCGCCTCTGTCCCTCTATGTTTGTGTGTTAACTCATTCTGATATAATACTTGTGTTAATTGTTTCCTAATCATTGTTATACCCGTATTTGCTTAAATTGTTATGACATTGATTATGAAATTGGTATTTGGACAGGAGCTTGGACTATACAAGGCTCAAACAAAGCTGCCCTTTAATGCATTTGGAACAATGGCTATGGCCAGAGATGTAAGATCAATGTTTCTGTTCTCTAGAGATGCATTTGAAGCTAACCATAGATGGCACTTTTGATTTAAATGATTTTCAATTTTTGTTGACAGGAATTTGAGAACAATTCTGCATCCAGCCAGATTTTTTGGCTACTGAAGGAAAGTGAACTAACTCCCAGTAATTCCAATATATTAGATGGTCGTTATGCAGTGTTTGGATATGTAACACAAAATGAGGACTTTTTGGCAGATCTCAAGGTTGGTGATGTGATAGAGTCAATCCAAGTAGTCTCTGGGCTCGAAAATCTAGCCAATCCAAGCTACAAGATTGCTGGCTAGAGAGACCATTATCCCATATAAGGGTTTATTAGCCAATTTGAGCAAATTTATTTGAGGCACCACGTTTAAGTATGTAATTTAATTCCAGGATTCGGCTACCACCATATCATTTTGAGAGAATTGTAGCATTTGGTTGGAGATTGTGTTCTTTTTAAGACTATCACTGAAGTCAAGTTCAGATTGATTCATATTATAAACACGACATTGTTGCATCCACTTGGTATTTTAACTAGTAGCAAAAACAGTTTTCTTAACATTGGTGTTGTCCTGTATCTTATATGTCTGGGAAATTTATATCACAGAAATGGTTGAAATTTTCAATATCGCCACATTAAGTCACTAAAACCTACCAACTTAGTGTCATGGGGCGCTAAGTCATACCGATTCATCTATCCAAGCTCGTCTCATAAATTGATATTCAGCAATTCAGCTTGTAAATTTCATGGGTTTTTATGAAATAGGTGAACTTGGCAAAAAGAAAGAAACTCTTTACAAATCTATAGCCCAACAAAGTAACAAATACTGCTGAGCTCCTCTTTAGACAACAGCCTCCACGGTTTTGTATTCACTTTGACTCTTCTTAATTTTCAACCTATGCAATTCAGTAAAATACAAATTGAATTTGCAGAACCATCGTATGCCCTCTCTCTATTGCCAGAAAAGGAGCAAAACTTTCACGGTCCTCGGTACCTGCGGAAACAGAAACAGCCCTGAGGCTGATCCCCAGGGATCATACCTCCACCTTTAGATGTGTCAATGGCCTCCAACATGGCCACCACCTCATCCATCTCCGGCCGCTTGTCAGGGTTTGCATCCCAACATCGCTTCATTACATTTGCAAGAGAGCTTGGGCAACAACGAGGCATCTCAGGCCTCAGATTCTGTAGTTTCATATAAGTTTGATTTCTCTTTTAGCTAACTTTGACAATGAATGATATCCAATTATATTAAGAGCAGTTATGTGTGGATGATTATTTCTTTAAGGCCAAGTTTTCACACAATCATGTATCTCATGGATTATAAGATATCTTAAGGATTTTATCTACCTGGCGGACAACTGCTGATGTCACTTCCGAGAAGCTAAGATCAGGATACGGCATGTCACAGCAGTATATTTCCCACAAGCAGATACCAAAACTGTACACATCACATTTCCTGTTATATGGATTGCCATTGAGAACCTGTTCCATCCCGAGTCATTTCGATAAGTCAGATACAGAAATATTGAGAAAAATAGAAGGAAGCCGTTTCTACAATATTATCTTATGATTGCAAAGAAACTCATTGATCATAAACAGATGTCCAAGAGCTGAAACAAGCAGCATCAGTCTAAGTAACTCATCATTTTTTGGTAATATGAAGAAGCAGCTATTGAATGGACAAAAGATGCAGTGAGCAAATTCCTAGAAACATGCGCCCATTATATTGGTGTCATGTAATGGTTTGCTGTCCATCACGGCACAGCCAAATAGTGGGAACAGCACTAAGGTATGTTATGGCACTCCGGCTCCATCTGCAGTTTGGGAAATATTTGAGGCAAAGATCATGACATAAAGGTGTGTGTCTCTCCTTGTAAGGAACTTACAAGACCGTGACATTATTTGGAATGAAATTTCTATTTTGAGAACATAATTTCCACCACACAAATATTTTTTTCTCCCTATTTACTGATGTCACCTACCGAAGCAGAGTTTCCATCAGGAATGAATTTGTCAGGATACACAAAGCATACACAAATGCACTCATATATGGCATAATAATAACAACAAAATCTAGACAGAGAAAACTCATTCTTTATAGGATAAATCCTTGCACGTGTCAGTTAAAACAAAATTGAGCAAGGTAAGCAACACGAAACCCTTCTATTATTAACTAACAGAGAGAATTCTGAAGCTTGAAGAATTCATACAAAAGAGATGCATTCGAGAGAGAGTTCATTACAGAATCAAAGGGTATACCTCTGGAGCCATGTAACCAAGGGTTCCAGTCTCGCCAGTCATGTCATTAGGATTTGAAGCCTCAACACGAGCAACCCCAAAGTCCGCTATCTTTACCGTTCGTGTCTTGTCTAGAAGCATGTTTTCTGTTTTAACATCTCTGTGAACAATCTTCTTCGAATGAAGATAGCACAAACTACAAAAATACAAAGAATGGCAGTTTAATCCTCACGTTAAAAAAAATAATCCATAACACGTTCAAAGAACAAGTTCAATATAATACTTAACATGTATATGTACACTTGGAACTAGAAAAATCTAAGATATATCAAAAGATCTGAAGAACAAAATAAAATACAGATGGGGTGTGGGAATATGACCCTCGTGCAAGATCTAGTGCCAGTTGGACAACTAGTTTGAATGCAAGCTTCCTTCTGCGGTTCTTTATGAGGTAAGATTTCAGTGCGCCACCAGGACAATATTCGACAACAACACAACAAACATTACTTGGCATGCCAACTTGGCCATTATCTGTTTGTATGTGTAGCTCTGATGTTCCCATTGTAGCCCCTATAAACTGAAAAGAAAGAGTTGGTATGAGTAAGCTAAACTACGTTGACATAGGCATCCCAATTCATATAACAATAATAATCTTATTGAAGAAAATTTGCAGGTGCCCGACACAATTTTGGGTGGGGCAAAGAAAAAAGCAACATTCCACTTGAGAACCGACATCCACTTTAAAGTTAATTTTATTTCAACATTGCGTCAGCTGTCTTGTATTTATGTTGGATATTAACACGACAGTGCATTCTCTTGATACATAGGTCTAACCAAGAGGTTAAGAGTGTTAGACTTATGCTTTCAATGTAACACGAAAGCTCACAACATTCCAGTGTGAAGACATGGAAATGTTACCTTGGTCACATTAGGGTGGTCAAGCTTATGCCAGACAGCAACTTCTTGAGTAAAAGCTGCTCTTAGAGAAGCTATTTCAGCGTCTGATCTATGTCCCTCTTCTCCCCAATCTAGAAGTTTAACTGAATATTGAAAAAGGAAAGAAAGTAAAGAGTTAACAATAAGATAGTTCTATGGTTCAGGTTAGATTACAAACACAAATAAACAAGAGATCTCTCCACCCTAAAACAATCACGCAGATAACAGGAATAAAATGCATAACATCGAACTTAATGAGACAATTATCATATATCGTATCTGGCATTGATCCGAATCTAATTATGGCTTTCAACATAGATCAATTTGGACTATTAAGTTCTGTTTTTAGCTTGAACTAATTTGCATGAGATTTTTATGAATGTTAAGATGAAAAGTCATATGGAAGCTTAGGAGCTAGCCAGTATTGAGTCAATTTTTTCTACACATTTGCTTTAAAATCTCCAGCTGTTGTTGTCACCAAGTGAGAAGTAAAAATACTGCAATTGTTAAAACAAAAAGGGGTTTATTTGCTTTATCTATAATAAATTAAAACAAAAAGGGGTTTATTTTTTATTTTTTCTGTCTTTATAGAAAAACTGCAATTGTTACTGCTAACTACCACAGCTGCTCCCAATCCGTGAATCACGGATATTGTGAGGCTAGATCTGTAAGGCTTTATCACAAGCCACTCTATGTAGCTAATCAAAGTCAGGAATATTAAGAAAAAGAAGAGGAAATAAAAAAATATTTGGAAGCCTTCAAGAAATCCCTCACTTTAACTTCATACCTAAGAAACATTGGAGAATATTGGTAGAGATTTGAGGAACTAGCAGAAGTAAAAGTAGAAGGGCCCTTCACCACTAAGTTGCAAAGAAGCCTGAAACTTGTATGACACCATCGAGACAGAGCCTAAAGGAGCGATTTCTTGTGATACCTAGTAAAACACTGTGCAAGGACTTTTATTTCATTTACGAACCAAAAACCAATGGGATTTCTTATTCCTTACCCAACTACAGTAAATACTTCAAAAAGCTAGTTAAACATTGTTAGAAATTTCAATCGTCCTCAAACCCAAAAGTTTCAATCTTCTCCATCATTCATGTAAAAATTATAATTAAAACAATCCTACCTTAGCCAAACACCTCGAAAATTTTATCTTTTTCTGCAATTCTAGTGCAAACCAATGTTCGAAAAATCGCTATGCGGTAGGCGGGCGGCAGGCAGGGGCCTAGCGCCTAGAGGAGTAATCAGGGCCTAGGGGAGGGGTCGTCAAGGCCTGGTGGTGGTGGTAGTCGACTCGTGAGAGAGAGAGAGAGAGAGAGAGAGAGAGAGAGAGAGAGAGAGAGAGAGAGAGAGAGAGAGAGAGAGAGAGAGAGAGAGAGAGAGAGAGAGAGAGAGAGAGAGAGAGAGAGAGAGAGAGAGAGAGAGAGAGAGAGAGAGAGAGAGAGAGAGAGAGAGAGAGAGAGAGAGAGAGAGAGAGAGAGAGACCGCCTAGGCGCCGCCTAAGGGTAAACCGTGGCGGTGTCCTCCCGCCTAGCGCCTAGGAGGCCGCCTAGGCCGATTTTTCGAACACAGGTGCCATAATCTTCTTCCTAAACATAGAAAGCCTCATAAGTCATGGCAATGCCAGGACAGCTCAAGAAGAAGTCTGAAACATGCATGCTAACACGCGTGTATCAACAAAAGGATGAGTTTTTCCAAGGAAAGAACGAATTTTGTGACATCGGTATTAGTTTTCATCACATGGGCACCCTCAAGTGTAAGAACCCCAAACAAAATGTCAAAGACCCCAAAACAAATTCCTTAAGACAGAGCGAGCAAAAAGTCCAATACCAGCAACGTCTTGGCCATCATAAATGCCACGGTGAACAGTACCAAAAGTGCCTCGAGCTATGGCACCCTTGACGATGAGTTTGGAGGGATCAATCTCCCAGTCTTGCCTTGTGGCAGCAGTCTGCCTTGATGCTGCTTCTTCCTCTTCCTCTTCCTCTCTCCTCTTGTTCTTCTCCATAGTCCACGTTCTGTTCAGGTGCCTCTGGAGCTGCTCGTCCAAACTCTTCAGATCTATCTGATCTGCTCTCACATACCCACCGCCACTCTCACTCTTCTCCTTCATTTTCACTCTATATTTTCAAATACTGACGCACCCTTTTGGCGTCAAAGTGAGGACAGGGCAAGCCAAGGAGCAAAGCTCTCTGCTTGTGCTCGCTATTAATGTTGAAGATGTACTCAGAAGGAAGGACTATAAATGGTGTCACCAAAATCAAGCAGTTGTTCTACTCTGTTTCTCTCACTATCATCCATGCGGGCACATGGATTTTGCCTGAAGACGACGTGTGTTTCTGACCCACCTCAGTCTCTCTCTCTCTCTCTCTATTATTTATGATTTTACGGAAAAGAGAAAGAAGCAGGAGGACTCTCTGTTGCAGTCAACATACCTTTTACTTCCCTTAATATTTTATTTTCTTCTAATGCTTGTACCTCCAATATAATACATTATTTACCACACCCTCTTATAAAAATGCGATTTTTTGTTGTTGTGATCTATTCTTTTCAGGGACCTGCCATTATCTTTGTTAGTTAATCTGAAAGTTAACTAATCATTTGGACTATACGTTCGTCAAAAAAAAAATAAAAAATAAAAAATAAAAAATCATTTGGATTATACTAGGATACATTCATTTATGTATTTTAAACACAATTCATGAGGTTAAAAAACAAAAGTGATTTTACCTTCTGATAAGAGATCTAAAATCATACCACCCCAGCATGCAGTGAAACATTCTGTGATGATCTTATCCTCAGTTGAACATTATCTTGGTAAAGTGTGATTTCATTTTTTATTTGGGTTCATGATAGGGTGAGCCAATGACAGAAAGACATGTAATAGGCACATGGTTGCATTAGTGCCACCATGCATGCAGCCATCTGTTCAATGTCAGCAAAAAATATTCAATCTACCCAGCAACTAATTCTTTATTCTGTTTCTCTATTTATACAAAAAGGGTATGGTGTGTGGGTGTGGCCAAAGTCCTTGAAATATTACCTCCCAAATTTGTAAGGGTTGGCCAAAGGTTTTATGATAAAAAATGGAGCTGTGGTTGGCGTGGAAGAAAAGAGAACTTGGGTGGTGTGGTCAAGGGCTGCACATGTAATGTCTTTGCCAATTTGGGTATGTTCAGTTTCATGATTGGAAGACGTATATGGAAGAAAGAGGGGCCCTTTTTCTGTACACCAATGGTGGCTCTGTGGTCAAACTTAGAATATGTGTTCTTTGCATAATTCAGATTCAAGCACACATTGTGCGGCTTCTGTTCAAGTAGAATTAGCAAGTTTTACCAGCTGAAAATACTTTTTACTTTGCTCAGTAAAAAGGAAAACGGTAATTCAGAGTTACCTTCCCCATGATTTAGTAAAGAGAGCTGAATAAGTTGCTGTTGAGCAAAACATCAACATGCCCGTGAAGCCTTCTCTTTTTGACTTAATAGGGTCAGGCATAAAAAGCATAGGCCATTACTGGTATAGAGAGTCAAGGGGTTCACGGGGCGAGAGGGGTTCATAGATCAGAGAAAGTGCCCGTGATTCTAGCAGCCTGCCTGTCAAAGGGTCCTTCCCAAAAGTCCAGATTTATTTATCTCTACGGATAAATATATCTGTATCTGTGATATAAAATATGTCAGAACCATAAGATAAAAAGGTTTACAGAGTACATTTCATGCCGACATTAACACATTTGAACAAAAGAAAGAGCACGAACTACACCTAACACCTTGTAGAAGCATTACAGAGTTCAAAAGCCGTTCCACTCGTTATATTTTCGAATATAATTTGAGGGAGTATACTAAATCGCGCCTTGTGGTAATTCCAGTTGAGAATGGACATATACCTATACAAAATATATCCAACTTGATTGACAAAAGTCACTCTCATAATTCCAACTTAATAGATAACGGGGCCTTCTTTCATGATAAGATACGACGTTTCTTTTTCTCTGGTGTTGCGTGTACTTGTGCCTTGACCCCATATGTTTTTAACTGAAAGTTTTCAAAAGCCTCAGAAATTGCTCCAACCTGTACATTTGCGTTGAAGAATATGAATATGTTTAGTCCGAAACAAGAAAGGTTATGATAAAAACAGTGATCAAACTGTGGTAATATTTTATTTGACAGACCAGCTCAGGCTTTTTGGAGTAGACCCTCACTATCATATCTTGATATGATGTAGGCAGCAAGTGACTAATGTGGTCCTCACGTATAGTGAATTTCTCCTCACTGTCATAATCCTGAATAGACGCATCAAACTTGTCTAATTGACACAAACAAGACTAACCATATATAAAACAATTCTTTGACCCCCAAAATAAAATAATATATATATACAGAACAGTTGCTTCATAAAACAATCAGATTTTTGGATCATCCTGACTCAGTATAGATGTATCCATATAAAAGGTTAGATACTTTAAAAAAGTAGTGCATAGGTTAGGTGACGTACCTGGAAAAAGTTGATACTGGAAAAGATACATGCATAAACAAGAGAGAGAGAGAGAGAGAGAGTGAGAAAAAAATTTGTCATTTGATGCTCAATAATGCTTGCACCAAAATGTAGAACAAAAGCTTGCTAAAGACATCCTCAAGTACCTTTCAAGAGGACTATGTCTCCCACGAGTCAAATCAATCCTGACGTTGCAAACAGCAACATCCTCCTCTTTCAATGTCACTCCACTTTTCTGTGAAATAAGTAATATGGCATTAGTAGTGACACAATATTTAGCAGTGAAGCAACAAAACACCGAAATGGAAAGGACATGCTGGATCGTAACCTGAGAACAAACAATATCTTGAGCGGTGACATTTTTGAAATTTTCCATTTTATCCTTGGGTACAGCATACTCATTGCAGAACTGCCATCAAACATCATTAAACCACAAAAGAGATCCATAAGTGACCTTCTCTGATTTTTCATTGAGTCCAGAAAGGGAGTGAGCAGCAAAAACTTACCTGATAAAGATTTCTCCTCCTAATCCGCAGGATTAAGTCCCTAGCTTCCTTTAGTTCTTCATTTGGAGCTGTCTCAATAGTTCTAATGATGGTGTCATCTAACTACATTTAAATAATTTCAAGCATAGCATTCTAAGAATCAGGGAGTCAATTGAAAGTGAAACCAAATTTGGAAAATTGATTCTCAAAACCTTCCAGTATTGAGAGGGATCCTCAATGTGAGAGGCAATGTCTAGATAATCGTTTGCTTTCACCAGGGCATCAACCACCATAAGCTCTATGGCCTACAAAAGTTATTCACTTCAGATAAAATCATTTTCAAAGTTTAACAAGTCAGTAAAACTGGGAAAAAGAGAAAAACGTTATGAAGATGAAAAAAAACTGGGATGCTCAATAAAATATCTGTTCTATACCTTTACTTTTGGATGTGTATAAACTGTTCGATACAAATCAGCTCGAGTAGCAAATAACTTGTGGACAGTGAGATCTAGACAATAGACAACCATTAGCAGCAGAAAACAAAAATCCAATACTAATCTGATAAATAAATTTGACAAGATACTGACAATCTTTGGCACGATAGCAGATCTCATCATCCATAACCCGCATTGTCTCCATTAATCTGATAGAGGGGTAAAATATATGATGCTAGAAGAGATCATTCATGTATTTTTAAAAAGAAAACTATGAGAGGCACCAATAACTAATGAATTCAACTTTAACATCAGATTAAAACCTTTGAAACTCAAAGTTACATCCCAGCCCACAAGCGCGGCAGTCACGGACAATATAATCAAACCTGTTAATGATTAACATCTCATAACATTAGATTCCAGTATGAAGGTTACATAACAAGCATTAAAATGAAGTACAAATGAGTAATAACACAGCAGAAAATCTTGAAGAGTCACATACTTGTCCACATCAATTCCATTACGGCCATTTGCAACAATTTCATACAGAAAACGCTTCTCCCTTGAGCTCTACTTATCATTTAAAAGAAAGGAAAAGGTAATGTTAAATATAATGACAAGAAAAAGAAAAAGTTCTCAAATGAACAGATGCGATACTAATGCTGGTTTTTAAGCATCTTACTCTTGGCATTGCAAATTCAGAGCTGGCCAGTATCATCTCCTGCAATCAGAAAACAAAAATCAACCATGGAAACAGTATCATCTCCGGTCATAAGTAAAGTATCATTAATAGTTCCCCTCAAGGAATAAACTACTAACTTTAACTCTTTTAATCATCTGAGGGTCAACATCAATATGATGCTGATTAACAATGTGGTCAACCATCTTCACTGACATATCCTCGTGAGACCTAGAAAGTTCATATATGAGATAAAACATACTTAGAATTTTCACAAAACCAAGGAGAAAAAAACTTCTAAAACATAGGCTCCAACTACAGGTTCTTTCTCTCCCAATTCTTTTTGTGATAGGAAACAACTGACACAGAAGGCATTCCCCCATATAAAAGGATAGTTAATAAAAGATGAAAAACATACCAATGGAAACCACTCCGAACTTGGGGAAGAAACTCGCGTTCAAACAAGTGACTGAAAGGCCCATGGCCAACATCATGCAAAAGTCCTATAATTTCAATGAACGAAAGTACTCAGACGACTCAACAGAGGGGCAGTATGATACAAACAACTATAATCACCTGCAATTTTTACGGTCTGGAGATCAAAGCGGTCAATATCAAGATCCGAGCCCTGTAAGGAGCAAGCATATATAAGAACATTTAAAAAAATTGCATTATATGTAATTATATGTAATTACCAGTACTAAATGACAGATAACAGCGTTATACCTGATAATTTTTTAGCTTCTGAACAGCTTCACCAGCAAGCCAATAGACACCAAGCGAATGCTCGAATCTGGAATGCACTCCCCCTGGATAAACCATGTGCGTAACTCCTGAAACATGTTAAAAGCTTGACAAGTAAGCAAACAGCAAGCTCAACGTGATAACATACAACCTTCAATTACACAACAAAGCCAACACTCTGTTTTTGATAGAAGTACAAATACAATAAATCATATCCTAATAAATAAAAAATCAGAAGCCTTGTTCACAATACATGGATATTGGGTATAATGTTACAAAGGGCATAAACTTACCCAGTTGTTTGAGTTCACGAAGCCTGTAGAAACTCAAAATCAAATCATTAATTACATAGCAAACAGCAAAAGCTACTGATACACATTTAATGTACAAACTCAATTTACCTCTGAAACTCCTCG